GATGTCATATCTGATAAAGGTAAACTCCAGAGCGCGACTTAATTGCTTTTTTTGTTTGTGCTCTGTTGTGGGGATGTCCCGTGACGAGTGATTTTGTCAGTATATAATGAAAAACACCTCAAAGTAAGTCACTTTCTTGTGTGTTCTATTATTACAAATGTTAACTCCTGATAGATTTGCATTTAAAGGGAATTTGGATGCTTTTGTTGCGTGTATCCCCGTGTAATATTTTGTGATGAATTTTTTTATATATACAGACTTTGTTGAGAAATAGAACAGACTATGGCTATGAATCTATATACACTTAATATCCGTGGAAAAATGTCCACCAAAATATAAGGACATCTCTTTCAAAATTGTTCAGAAATATGTTATTAAATTTTATGCGGATTCACACTGGAATGATAAGAATCATGATGTCGTCTTGTGTGGCGCACTGTCACTCCAGTTTTGTTTTGACAAAGCTGACCACACGCAAAGCTGTGGACAAAATGGTACAACCAGAAACAACTTACTAGGATATATAAACAGTGGAAGAGAGATTTAATATTGCAACGGTGTCAATAGAGTCGGAGCATTTTGTGGGGGTACGTTTAGAAATTGAGCACTTTAAAACCGTTCTATATTTATCTACCAACACTAGTTTTGTCTTACAGGGGTAGTTAGATCTAGAAACCGAATCGTACACCGGTGAAAACTGCGTGCACGTTATAATGAAGCATAGCCTGGGTAACACACCCGCCCAGGTTACCCCCAATTACTGGTTGGTACAGGCGACTATTGACGCTAGCATGACCAAACCAGGATTGTACCCAGCCACAATGAACTGCGTCTCAGACAGACGTAAGACGTAACTTCTACCACCCAGCCGTTGTCCAGTCACCGACTACTGTCTCCCGGTACGGTAGGAACTTCACTCTTTCCTGGCTGAGAGTTGATAGATTATATATATATATTCCAACACATAATCACAAGACGTGGTGACGGCACACTCAAGTTTTTTCAACTTACATTAATGCCGCCACCAACACAGGGGACAATACAATATTCATTTTCACCTGAGCGAAGTGATTTAAGTCATGTAAAGTGCCTTTCTCATCAAGGTCACAAGATCGGTGGCATGTCAGGACTCGAACCCGGGACCTCTTGATTCCGAGTAGAGCACTCTGCCGCTACGCCACGCGACCCCTACACACAGTGATAGATTTCTGGACGTCTAGTTCTCCTTGTTGTAATTCTAAGGGATAGTTCTTCCAGTTGAAAACTGTATTTCTATTCAAACCTGTATTGTACATGTATCTAGCAATGTCTTTGTTTATTGATTGATACGCATTTTGTCTAGGCTTGACTAAACCTTTCACAGAGTATTTTGCAAGATGTTTGCTACTTTCTTGTGGCAGTGTGTTTGTATTGTGGCCTGTTTGTTTTAAAATCGTATTTTTTTCATTGCAGGACGGAAAGTCTACGGCTAATATGTGGTTAAAACTCCTCTTTCTGAGCTGCGTGGTGGCAGCATTCAACGTTAGGACAAATGCCGGTAGGTGAAAAAAAACATTCCAGGCACCCACAAAACACTCCCGGCAAATTTCAAGAACAGTTCTATACAAAACCCTGCAAACTAACCAACCCCTTAAATGCTAATATACATATATACATATATATATATATATATATACATCGAAGTATAATGTATGTATACATGATTGTGGATCCGTCGACACCCATACATGTACGATGACGTACTTCGACCCTCTCCTTCCAGAACAAGCAGCCCTGTCGGACGGTGTGCTAGGACAACTGGACGGAGAGGACGAAAAGCAACTCAAGAATAGGGGGTTGAAAGGTTTGGAAAGTAAGCGGTCAATTATTGTATTAATTCCAACTAGAAGTATATAACGTAACATGTATGGCAGGGATTTAGGGACCCTATTTCAGCACCAAGGACATCGTGTATGAAGTAGGAAAACATTTGTGCTATCCTATTAAGTCAACTCCCTCCCTCCCT